TTCGATTAATATGGATTGTGGAAGGTATCATTCGTTTGTTATACCTCTTCGGCAGTCCGTGCCATTTGACAAATTGAATTTTCAAAAAAGTTCCTCAAACTTGCTAACATACTTTGGAATGAATCAAGATGAAACATTGATGTGTGCACATACGTGTGCTTATTTATACTATAAACTTAAAACAGACCTTGACAACCACGACAGAAAAAAAGGTCAATCTTAGAAAAGTGAAGTTAGACAATAAACACTCAACTTTTTCGTACAATTTGAACAACTTTTTTGCGATTTTGGAATTTTGAATACATATTATTTTGAAAAACATTTTTTAAACAATTAATTTTTTCATGTATTATTCTAGATGAATAAATACTCATAGATATATCTGTACATCTAGTTTACAAATCAAGATGATTTGGTTTAGGTATGAAAAAAATGTTGTTTCGTTCAACTATGATAATGAACAGAAATCGATTCAATAAAATTAATGAGAATAGATCATCGTCGAAATGAATTTCAAACATTGGCAACTAAAGATGGTAATGATAATTATGCAGTGAATTGTTAAGTATAACAATCATAAAGTTAAAACAAATCCTGCACAAGTTTAAGTGAAGAATGAAAATAACAAGAAAATATTCAAAGGTCTATAACTTGAAGTAGATTTACCTGCATGGATTATTGTTTTATCAAGAGTTATTGTCAAAAGAAGTAACTGTAACAACAACAAGACAAACGATTTCCAATAAACTCTCAATTGATGACCACCTATTGATTTTTTATTGTAATGATTTTGCATGTTTTATATTCTAGTAGCAGTATTCATCAACTCGACCAGATAAATTGAATACTTTCGTTAACTCTAAATTTGGTAAGAGCTTTAAATCGAAGGTAAAAGAATTTATTAAATAGATTTGTTGATGAAACCATCAGCTCTATAATTTGAGAGTATTTGGTAAAACAAATTAGTAATTTTTTTCAAGAATTTTCTGTTACTACAAGAAATCTAAAGTGTAATTATTCTTTAGCCAGCTAAACTTAAAATATGATAAGATAATGAGTTCTTTAAATGATTAGTTTTGATTAAGGAGAAAAATAGCAGAAAAAACATGCAAAAAGTTCTTCACCAAATATGTGGTTGAATTTGAGGTTGAGCATTCAAGGCACTGAGATATTGCGCTTGTGGTATATAACCATTGGGATCCAAGTAAGGTGTTAATTGAGTCCAAATAGCATTATGTTGCATAGTTAGATCAAAATCCGGTACTTGATAAAATTTATTCATATATTGAAGAAGTTGAAATGCTTCAGTATAGTTCAATAGACCAGGTCTAGAAAGAACACTTGTAGGCATAGTGTTCATTACATTTTGCCAACGATTTGCTGGAACGTCATCACCTCGTTGTAAGAGAATATACGCCATCAAAAATTCATTGAACGTCAAAACACCTATTAGAAAGACAAATTAGTTCTTAACACATACATTTTTGTTTTGTCTTTTTTTACCATCATGATTCCAATCAAACATCACGAAGACTCCTAAAAATAATTAATGAAAAATTAGTAAAGTAAATTTGAAAAAAAAGACATACGTTCTGCATCACTATCAAGAGTGAAAAAATTCGCGTTTGGATTTATTTCTGTATAAGCTTTCTTGAAATCAGTTACTACCATACTTTATTATAAATGAAAAATAAATAAATAAATTTCTTTTATTTTAATGATTTTCTTTACCGTCCATCACTTCCTGCTCTTTCCATAAACGCCTGATAAATTTGTTGAAGAATATGTGGTGGTATTTGAGTTTGTGCACTTAAAGCCTGTATATCATTATCAGATAAGGTTTCGTATTTATCGCCTCTATTACCCATTTTTTTTTATAAATGAATATGCACATATCCATTTACGTTCTACTTCAATGCATCCCTACTTGCTTATTATTCTTTTTTTTATATTTACCTTGACCTTTGCGTTTCTCCATATATTTTTAGAACAACAACCAATTTTTTTTTTAGATTGTTTTTTAAGATATAAATTTACGTAGTATGTTTATTCTATCATGATCAAAGCAATACTTGTCTTTAATAATTCAGCTAAACCAAGATTAATAAAATTTTTCGAACATTATCCTGAAGAAATTCAACAACAAATTGTTCGAGAAACATATCAATTAGTATCAAAACGTGATGAAAATGTTTGTAATTTTCTTGAGGGTGGATCACTAATTGGTGGAAATGATTACCGTTTAATATATCGTCATTATGCAACACTATATTTTATATTTTGTGTGGATAGTTCAGAAAGTGAATTAGGCATACTTGATTTAATTCAAGTTTTTGTTGAAACACTTGATAAATGTTTTGAAGTAAATTTCTTTTTTTTTTTTTTTTTCGTAAGAAAATTCAAATTGAATTCTTGTTTTCGTAATTTAGAATGTATGTGAACTTGATTTAATATTTCATGTTGATAAAGTTCATTATATTTTACAAGAAATGTGTTTAGGTGGTATGGTTTTAGAAACAAATATGAATGAAATAGTTGCACGTTTTGATGAACAATCAAAATTAGAAAAACAAGAAGCTGGTATTACAGCCGGACCAAATAAAGCAATGACAGCATTAAAAGAAATGAATTTACCACAAAAAATCAAAGATATGAAATTATCTGATCTCAATTTAAATTTACGTTTTTAATTATATAGTCTTTTATTTGTTGTTTTGTATTAGAGGTAAACAAAAAAAAAAACAAGGAAATGTATTTATGTATTCATAGATATTGGTGGGTTAGTCCGAAAATGAAAAAAGAATTTTTAAAATTTATTTGTTGTATTCATGTACCATGTGGTTTAAGTAGTCATCAGTGTTTTTCTTTTGATTAATCCAATATTATATGTAACATGTTCTAATCAGTTTAGTAAATATTATTTTATGGATAGACATATATAACTTACTTAAATGTAAACACCATATTATTCCTTTGAATGTATCGTTTTCTCTGGAAGCCAGTTCAAATATGTTTTGTCAGTTTTAGTAATGAAACTTTTATCAATAAATAATAAATGAAAATATACTTATGTTTATATTATTTACTGCAATGTACAGATTTATCTATAAGAACTTAACTCATTAAACGATGATTCTTGTTTTCAATAACGTGGAATTGATAAAAAAAACATGCATATTTTGATGTTTATGAAAAATAATTCAAACAATAACTAAATCTATTGAATACTCCATATTTTGATATTAGTTTCACTAGTCAATGTATGACTTTCTTAAGACTTTGACAGATTATTCTTTTAAGTTTTTTTGGTTTATTAATAGTGAGATTTTATTTAAAAAAAGTACACTTCTTCAAATCAGAGCTAGGACAAATAGAAATATAGAAAGTAAAGGTAATTTACGTTTACTTTAAAAAATGTACTTGTACTTAAGTATGAATAAAATAATTGACATATTTATCTAATGTATAAATATATGGTGTGCCATTTGTAATGTCATCTACCTCTAATGAAGTTTTTAAGATCATCGTGATATCATCTTATCAAAAACTAAATGAAAATAAGAATCTCTTAATATAATTTTTTTCGTTCATAGGTTCATTAAGTTACGTGAAAACACTTGTAAAAATCGCCTATTTTCATTGCTCAAGTTTCTTCAAAATGCTGAATAATATCCATAAAAGATTCTGTGCATTCAGTTTACTGTCATAGATAAATAAAACTCGATGACATGTAGGAGAAATTTTAGAATGGAATATTCATGAGAGATTTCTTGAGCATATGTTATAATTGTCTAAAAAATAGATTTAAACCAATTCATTGTTCCTAAGAATACTAAACAAAAAATACATGAAGTTTATCAGATCCATTTTGATATAGTACTAATCATTTTAAAATATTTACTACGTGGAAGATTACGATGTGCTTTAAAAGAATTATAGAGTTATCTCAAATTCATTCGATCTATCCATTTTCCTAATGTTTCTAAGATGATCACTTTTCATTTCTGATACAACACATAGGAAATATACAAAACGGTATCTAAACAAGTCTTAAGTTTTGAACAATGATCAAAACCCTATAATTCTTAATTTTTTTTAATTTCATATATGTATATAGTGAACGGTCAAGCAACGTAATTCTGTCAGTTTTAATATTTGACACGTCTTTTGCTGATGGCAACAGTGTAACCTTTAAGATTCGAGATTTTATGCCGTATGGTTTTGAAAGTGATTGCCACATTAACAATGCATTTTTAATCCTAATAAACAATGTCTTCAGCAAATGTGACCAGATCCGCTATTTTGAAATGAAATAAATATGTAGATATCAAACGAAGAAAAGTTGCATCTAATTATTTTCAACGTACTGATTGTTTACAAATGCCCGAGTATAATATTTTCTCCTGCTACGCACTTCTATTTGTAATATCATATAGAAAAATAATTCAAACAATAAAAACGACACTATTTCGAATTTCAAGGAAAAACTTGAAAGTTCAGGTTTTTGTATTAAAGAGAAAGCACCAAAGTATGTGCCTTGAAGTACAAATATAAGTGCTAAATATCCTAGATGAATATTTGTTCTTGCACTTTTTACTTGAAAAAATACAAGTACAAATATTTTCATATGAGTTCTGCTTCGAATAAGTGATGTATCAAGACATTTATCTTCATTATAATACGTATATGTTTTTCATTTTATTGTTAAGTGTAAAATATTAAAATAAATATATTGAATGATCTGAATTTGAATTGATTTCCTTGTTTATTAAAGATTTTACTTATATATAATTGTTTTACACGATTCGAAAACGAAACATCGAAGATAACAAAAGGGCATGTGCACTAATCAAATATCTACAACCAGTCATTCACTTCTCAGTCCGATCCTAAGACTGTTGCTGTTCGATTATTGCGCATAAGTTTCTGTTTTCTTTTTTTTGTTAGTGGTTAATAATATCTATTTAAATTACCAGTCTTTTTTTGTCATTTGATTAAGATTAGAAAAAATTGATACTATCATCTTCATCATCGTGTGATTCTTCTTCAGATAGACTACTATTACCAGCTAGTTCGTTTCCTATGTTATACGGTAATTCTTTCTGATCATTGTTTGATGCTTCACCATTATATCTATCGTCAAAAGTAATGACTTGGTCCAATTCATCATTAACATCTGTTAGTAGAGGAGAACTATTAATATTAGCTGGAATTTCACGCAAACGTTTCAATTTACGAACTTCATCAACTATAAAAAAAGAAACAACATAAAAAATCGATAATTTTTATGAAATGATAATAATATAATAATAATAAACTTATTTCTTACCATGATATTTCAGAATAACATCTGCTTTATCATCTTGATAATCTTGAAGTCCAACAAGAATAACATCTCCTTGATTAATTCATACTTCTTTTTACGTAGTTTAACATGGATATGGCATAATCTTTCTTTTCCACTGGTACTATCGAAATACAATGCTTCTATATGATCATTACCCAAAACACGTGTTACTTGTGCATAAGATTGTCTATCATCTTTAAGTATTAATTTACGTTTCACATCATCATTTTCATTTTTACCACGTTTTTCTTTGTTTTTTGGCATTTTATTTTCTAAATTTTAAATGTTGAATTATACAACAACGAGATCAACTATAGATCTAATAACAGTTAGAGCAAGCTTTTTATGTAGAGAATGAAAGAAAAAGTGATGTAAGATTTCGTTAATTAACCACGTTAGAGAGAAACAAACACCAGAATTCATAAACAACTATAAAAACAACAAAAGAAGTAAGAATTTCGTAAGTCTAACAATCAGATATACATGACTTATAGATGTAGTATTTGTCAATAAATACTTGAAAAAACTGATGTTGTAATGACTTTTATGAGAATGATACATAATATGCAAGAGAATATTAAAGTGTATTTCTATTTATGATCTGAATGTTTTACTCAGATTCTAAAATGAATATCAAATATCTTTTCTTATCTCACTGACTATGACAAATATCCGGACAACAGAAAGATGCTTGATTCTAAGTACGTGATGTAGTCATCCTTCCTCTTGTTTTATTATCATTCCAACTCCTTGAATAGTCCTGATCACTCATAGTACCAGACTCGAACAATTTCTTCAAAAGTTCTGTACTATTACAAAAGCAAGCTGATGCGTCTCGTGATCATTTTTTTTCGATCTTTCAGCTTCGCTATTTGAATCGTATGTCTACTACTGGAAGTTTTATTCAATTGAATAGAATTTAGATCGAATTGCGTTGATTAGAATCAATATGATTATCATCATGTTGATTGCTACTTCTATTCATATCCATTTCTCTCAAAACAACGAATATAAGCCATTGTGAAAAATAATTCATTTACGTATCCGCAAATACAGTAGACTTAAAAAGTTCTGCTACCAGGTTGAAAGTACTCAAAATTTAATCCTTTCATTTTATGGTTTGACTATAAATATGGCATGTTGAACTCTGATCGCAAGGACTAATCAAGATTTGCTCCACCTTTATATGGAGGAGCTAGAGGGTTAACATAGAGTCTTTCTTCAGACGACGATATCTCAACATAGAAGATAAATCTTATGATCGTAGACCTCTCATGCGACAGTTTAGTACTGCTTCTATCGTCAATAAAAGATGTCATGTCAAACAATTTTACTTTGCCAGATTTATGAAGTAATATTTTGGTTATCTCCGTATGAGAGTTGATGGAAACGGTGGTAAAAGTGACCAATATCTTCAGCTAATTGCACCCGCTTGCCATAGAGTCTTCAATAAATGCTTTGCTCTAATCAAGTTTTTATCGAAAACTTCATGATCGCAGTCGTCAACAGAGATGAGACTCATGCCAAGGTTGTTTTCTCCCGCCTCAAGATTACAATGAATTGGAATACTCTATCGCTGGCACAAGACAGACGTGCGCGTCTTTATTTTTTAATAAAAGAATAGAGGTTAACGGATTTAAATAATGGAAAACCAGTAAAGTGTCAAAAAAGATTTTCTCGGATTCTAAGAAAAGCATAAATATTTTCATGGTAAATTCTTTGCATTACGACCTATTGACCTTGAGTTGTTACTGATGATCAGAGTTTCCCGAATTCTATTAACAGTCAAAATATCAGGTAGAAAAATTGGAGTTTATTTACGTTTTATCAGACAATGGAACTTTTTACAACTACTCTGTTATCCTTGCAGAGAAACCTATCAGAATCAATAAAAAATAAGCTTACATTATTCTCTTATTGTTTTCAATCGAAATGATCAATTCGATATAATTTTATTGAATGAAATCTTGATTGGGTGTGAAACATGCAAAAAGGATTTGATGAATATGAAACTCTTTCTACAAAAAAAAAAACTATTCAATGAAAAACGCGTGGAAAATCTCAATAGTCTAAAGGATAACATTGTATCGATTGTCTTGTGCATGACGTTTTAGATTTCTTTTGTCTATTATTAGAAAAGATGATAAATATTCTATTATTTATAATTCAAATGTTCAGTTATTGTTTAGAATTTTATAAAATATAAGATAATATTACTACTTATTGAACTGAATGAAAAATAGTATTTTGTTTTAAATATTTATTAAGTATAATCATAGTTTTTATGCGTGATCTTTTCTTTCGAATAAGAAGATAATAATATGACCGAAATAAGTACATCAAGAAGAAGAACACGATGGTATGTGTAATTTGAAGTTTTCATCATAGATGGTAAAACAATTGTAATCTACCGGAGACTGGAAGTTAATAATGATTCTCATTAAAGAAATATTTCTACATCCATATATTTCTATGCTTTCAAGTTGATAAAAAGTTTATACGATATTAGCAACTGTTTTAACGAATAATCAACATAAACGTAAAAACTAAACCTAATCTAGAGAAAAGAAAATGATTAGAACTAAAAAACATTACTAGTTACGATTGGAAAAACCTCTGTTTGTCTTTTTTTTTAAATGAAATTAGAGTAAACTCTGTTCGAAGCTGCTTTGTCTAAATTCTCTTTACAAATATGAAGAACAATGATATGATCAAAACGTTGTTGTGTCATTGTTGATCGCAGATACGTTTTTATTCGATTCTTTATAAAACGTAATCTGGAAGTCTTCAATCGACATTTTGCCTTATAAAACATTACTGTTCTTATATTACTTCAAAAATCTTTGATATAAGTAAGATAGAGAGGCGAAACAAAACTTGGATGTTCGATAAAGAACATAGCAGTAGTAGAAGTCTCATACATGTTTCAAGAACTAGAATCTAATTAAGTTAGCACCGTAATTTATGATGGTTCCATCGGGGTGGCAAACAAATTGATTGGTTCCCTTTTCATAACATCGCTAATAGAAATATAGGTCATAGTTCTTCGAAAAAAACACCTTAGGCTATGATTTTAGCTTTCGTAGTCTTTTCATAGTTTTATGATGCAATAAAATGTGAAGTATTCATGTAAAATTATCTAAATTAACTATCCAAAATAATACTTTCTAAGAATATTAATTATGTGGAAATAGTTTATAGTAGTGGTGATAAAAATCAAAATCATTTAATTTAAACACGAGAATATCGGACTTTGCTTAGAAAACTGTTGATGTATAAAATATCGTCTTTTTGAAAATCAATAATTTATTGGTGATATAAGTTCAAAATGTGTTTTGATTATAGTACACAATGTCGTTGATATTGGTAAATATATGAGAAAATTAATGTGGCATTACATGATGTAAATTAAATTTTGAAATATCGACAAAGATGCTGGATTAGAACTATATTTAATCAAGATAATTATATTCATGTTGATTTTAAATTATCCTTCGGGAATGCTTATTTTTATGTTTGTCAAGGTCATCGTTAATGATTTAAGAGTGAGTGTTGTCGTTTGGTATGTTTTTTTATTATTATTATCAAACATTATTGGTTTTCCTTAAATTGGTTTGTGAGGAATTAAAATTTATCATTTTTGAAGAAAAAAAAAGAGGCTTAGAAATACTAAATCAATCTTATTTTGTTAAGTAGCTGTTGTTGCTCTACTTGTATATGTGAAGATATATGTTTTTCTTATAAATCTGTATTTTTTTTAATTTATTTACTTAAAGTTGTTGTTGATTTCAATAGTTATATCTCGTTTTTTTAAATTTATAATTGAATAATATTTGTCATAGATTATCAAAGAATGAAAGGTAATAAATAAATTGTGTTCATATCAAATGATGTGCTTTCATTTATATGGAAGAAAAACTATTAGTACACTCTTTGTAAGATTAAAATATGAACCATAATATAACTGCTTTTACTAATTGAAAGTAATGTTTTACAAGCCGGTTAATGATGTTCTTGGATGCACTCTATACTTTATTTAATTCTATAGGGAGAAATAAATCAACACCACTCTACGGAATTTTAATTTGTCAATATACTTCGAACTTTCGCTTCTGATAAATAGAAAAAACTAATAGAGTAGATTTCATTGTCGTTATATCTATCACGGTCTTTAAGAAAAGAAACCGAGATTCAAAAATTCGGTCTGATATTTCTACAGTTGTTTTAATTCTTATCTCATAAAAAACGTAATAGAATGAGAACATCCTGGAGAAGTGAGACAAACAAATTATGTCTAGAACATCAATAAAATCTATTTGTCGTTAAAAGTACTTTTAAAGGATATTGGAAAGTTTTGCGTGTAATGTTTTTTGAAGATGCCGAAAATAACTAACAAGGTTCTTGTAAAAGTTTTATCATAGAAAATTACACTGATGTACATGCAAAAAACAGTCTTTTTGCTCTAAAGCAGGGAAGAGAAAAAAAGTAACATGAAACAATAATAAACAATATTAAAGCATAATCTTATGATCTTTATCATACTAGCTTATTCGATTTTATAAAGAAAAAATACGTAACATGATGATAAATAAATAACTGGCAGCGTGCTGTCTATTAAAAAAAAAAACAATTGTTCTTATGTGTGAATATAAGTATATGATTTCCCTAGCGAATCAAAGCATTCCTTCCTTGATTGAATAAGACACCATTGTATAATGTTGAAATGCTGTTGTGAATTCTTATTATCAATTAGTAAAACACATGATTGTTTATTATACAAATTCAATTCAAAGAAACAAACTTCCAAAAATTAACATCAGACAAAGACGATTCAAAGTATAGTATTCGTCAAAGTGAGTGAATGGATCATTCATAAAGGATATTCAGGTAAAACTCTCATTTATGGACACCTCTAAAATCCCTTCTTTTGTCTCTGTTCAGTTTCATCGGCTCTCTGCCATTTCTGGACGCATAATATAAACTTTTCGAGCAAGCCTGCTTGTTTAAATATATCACCTCTTTTTTTAGTAAATAACAGTTCATTAAATAAACAGAACCAAATTAGAAATGATAACACACATTTCATATACAACAAACACATATATAACCTACTGCAAAGTTTTTTCTTTAATACATTGCATTTTAATGAGCAAAAACTAGTAAAAATATAAAATGAGTTTCAATATCAATGGCATTCAAAAATCTCATATAACTGCTTCATAAAATAGCTATCTGCTCATGTAGGACTATCGTCACTTATTTTA